TAGATAAATGTTCTGTTGTCATCTTAATGACATCTAAATAGATAAAGGCTGAATTTAAGGTTTATTCAATATGTTTTACTTTCTAGTGGGTATTTTCTGGTTCAATCCACACTCTTGGAAAGACAGCTAATACAGTAGATTTCTTGGTGTAAGAAGCCTATTACACTTAAAAGAATTATTTTTACTTATTGAAATCTTGACAATAGAAACAAGATGCAATTTGCAGAGATTTTTGCCCTAAAGTTTCCATGGTTTATGTTCCTCAAAGAATGCATACTCTAACTCTAATGGCCTGAGGCTTTCCACTCTGCTGAAACACTGCAGTCTCCTTCTAAGATGCATGACCTGGATTTTGCTTGCCTTTTAAGCTTCATTGTTCATGCATTCATTTCACAAATATTCTGAAGCCACAAAGATCACCTACTATGTGCCACACATTATTTTAGATACTAAATGCACTTCCAGTAATTCAGTTTATATCAAATATAGGATTTTTTTAGTTCTGGCACAGGATCCCAAGGAGCCTGACCTTGGCCCCTTTATGATATTAAAGAGCAAATTATGAACTCTCAGGATACAGGGAATATATGACAGAAATGATCTACCTCTTTCTGCAAAATTACATGCTTACAATATTGCATTAAGAGTGGGCTGGGATTGCTGAGAGTGGAACGGAGGAAGTTGTTGTTGTGAAGCTTCTCAGTTCTCTCTGATGTTTCAGATTTGATCTATATCACTGTCTATATTGTATTCCCTAAGATTCTGTCTTAATTTTATCTCATGACTAGATCTAGGTTAGAACAAGGCCAAGGTTAGAGCTAGGCCATGGTACTATTCTATCACCTTCATTTGACTGAAACTTTCATAACGATGGCTGCAACTGTGTCTGTCATTGTAAGTTTGCCTGCTGGAATACACAGAAAAGAGCAATAAATATATATCAGAAGAAGCGGGGAAGGAAGAAAAGGAAGGGAGGAAGGAAAGAAGGGAGGAAGGAAGGAAAGGAGGGAGAGGAGGATGAATGAATCATAGTATATCAGATACTTGTGACTGAACTACAATACTAGTTCAAGTGCAACTTACTAACTCTCTGTCTTGCTGATATTATCTTTATCTTACAGCTCATACTTAGTGTGGTTTTAGATAAATCTCTGCCAGCTACAGCTTACCATGTTCTAACCATACTAGGACTTGTATATTCAACCTTTCAGCCTGACTTCAACTAACTACCTCCTTCTCTCTCTGTTTCCCAGTTCAAACTCCCAAGAGATTTAAGAAAAAATCATGTTGCCCACCCCCACTTTTTTTTTTAGAAATGCATTCTTGTTCTGTCACCCAGGTGGAGTGCAGTGGCACAATCATACCTCATTGCAGCCTCAAACTCCTAGGCTTGAGAGATCCTCTCACCTCAGCTTCCCTCGTAGCTGCAACTACAGGTGTGCACCACCATCCCCTGGCTAATTGTGTTGTTGTTGTTGTCATTGTTGTTGTTGTAGAGACAGTCTAATTTTTTTTTTTTTTTTTTTGCCCAGGCTAGTCTTGAACTCCTGACTTCAAGCAATCCTCCTGCCTTGACCTCCCAAAGTGCTCGGATTATAAGCATGAGCCACCACACATGGCTTAGATGTATCTGTCTTTCAAAAACATATTGGCCAATGTTTTCTGATGCTTATGTGAATATGTCTATAGCCAATACAGTAATGAGCTGTTGATGCTAAAAAATTGGTATGCCATCAGCAAGAGGGAGGAAGCAGGAGGATCACTTGAGGCCAGGAGTTTCAGGGTGTAGTAAGCTATGATTGTGCCACTGCACACTGCACTTCAGCCTGGGTGATAGAGCGAGATCCTGTCTCCATCAAAAAAAAAATAAGAAAGAAAAAAAATTGAGACCAAAATCATCTTATTAGAATGACAGGGAAGTGAATAAAATACAACATCCATACAGCTTAGAAGACCAAACCTGACTCATTTCAGGAAAACTGTCTCAGTGGGAGTGTCTATAAAATACCCCCTGTTCCTCCACTCTCCACTCTGCATTATCTCCATGTCAGTGAATTATTTTTGCACAATAAAAGCATTCATATAGAACATATTTCCAGATGTAAATATGCTCGCTCCCATTTGAAGAGACATTATTTGCTTCATTATTTCACAGAGTGCAATTTGCACCATTTTCCCTGTTGCTCCACACCAGTGGAAAGAAGTGTGCATGAACTAAATTGTCATTTTTCAAAGAGATCACTGTCCTGTGCTACAGCAATTAAAAAGCCTTGTGTGTTGGGCCAAAATTGGGATGGGGGGAATGGGTTCTTTGTAATCTTTTGACATCAGAATATATGTTTAAGTGGAGAATTTCCGATAAATAAGGGATCAGCAAAGTTGAAATGATGCAATGACTATGTTCATCTTTTAATAATACTAGAGTCAGTGTTCGGCACTGCATCTAACTCTCCAAGCCTCTCTTAAGCTTACAAATGATATTCCATTTATTTTAAATCAATCAAGTGTCCTTAGAGGATTTCACCAGAAACCCAAATATAATTACATAAACACACAGGCTTCCTAACTATGTGTGTTTTGCCAACAGAAAAATATATTTTCTGTGTAATGCAGAAAGAGCGAAGGTTTATAAAATGCATTTTAATGTCTTAAGAATAACAGCATTATACGTAGAATTGGGCACATATACCTTATCAAAAAAAAGAATAAAAAGTAAATACAGAAGAAGTGATTAGGTCCTTACTGTGGTTGAAATTACCCCAAAGTAGCCTCTCTTCATGTAAATGAAGTTTACTCTGCTTCATAGTCTTCATTTTAATAATATACTTATCCAAATCCTAGAAAATTGCTAACTTCATCAGCACTAGGCAACACAAGGGCCTGAGGGTATGAGCTGGTCTTTTATTTATGCATTAGATTTCTATAACATCTCTTTTCCAAAGAGCCCCAGGCACTGTAGAGAATGTTTAACTGTTAGACCAAGGATTCATGGAAATGAGAAGTGGAACTTTGTCTAAGGAGATGTGACAGAAGAAAGAAAACCAGGAGACAGAGTAAAAGGAAATGGAGAAGCTTCTGTCAGGGAGAAGACATATGTCCTTATTTAATAAATAAAGCTCCCTCCCATTCCACCTGTGCCTGATGTGACTACATTTTTGTTGTTGTTGTTTTCCATAATCCACACCATTTGGAAAGTGCTGAAAGTCATACAGGATGATGGTAAAAGGTAGTGGAGTTTATATTTATCAGATTGCAATATTGTTTAGTTAGCTTGAAGTACTACTGTGGCAGGCTTTCCACTCTTGCCCGGCCAAGGACAGGCAGGAGAGATCTGGAGGACAAGGTCTTCAGATAGGACTCCTACTACGGCCATCTCTACAAAACACACTGAATAGTGGATCCTTCCAGCTTCATGCCAATTTTAACACCAATAGTAAAGAGAAAGTAAGAGTGAATTATAATGATATCATCGGCAATATGGGACATTTGGGAAATTTTATTTTGTAAGAAAAACAGGGGGTCGAATAGTTTATACATTTTACTCCTTTGTTTATATTAAACATTATTATGTGTTAAATCACTGATAATCACTAGCTTTAAAACTTAAACACTGACATTCCAACAAATTACTTGCAAATAATTAAGGGTAGTGCTGATGGAGGGGAATTAGAAGGGATGAATCCTGGAGTTTTTACTTTAACTCTGAGAGCCTGGTGTTGAACAAAGGACAAGTGGGACCTTATACTTGATCCCAAATGAATGCTTCTTTCAGAACTGCATTGAGGAACCACAGAAAGACAATATTTTCTCTTGGTTCAGCATTTTAGGGTCAATTCAATTTAGGACAATTTACTATTTGTTGGACAGCTGTGTTGTGCTTGAAGCTAAAATATATCTCCAGCCTCATGTTACCTAGAATCCCATGAGTGGTATTACATAGAAACTTGAGGATGTCATACCACAATTTTTTCTTACTTTTTGTTGTATTCTCTTTGTTTCTTTTTCTTTCTATCTTTCTCTCTTTCCCTCCCTCCCTTTCTCTCTTTCTTCCTTTCTCTCTTTCCTTCCTTCCTTCCTTCACTTCTTCCTTCCTTTCTTCCCTTTCTTCCTTCCTCTCTTTCTTTCTTGCTTGCTAGCTTGCTAGCTTGTATTGCTCTTTCACCCAGACTGAAGTGCAGTCATGCAGTCATAGCTTAAGTGATCTCCCCACCTTAGCCTCCCAAGTAGCTGTGTCTGGCTAATTTTATTTTTATTTTTATTTTTTGAAGAGATGGCTTCTTGCTTTGTTGCTTAGACTGGTCTCAAACTTCTGGCTTTAAGTGATCCTACCACCACTTTAAAATATATATATATATATATATATATATATATATATATATATTTTAAATCAGCTCTTTTAACAGAACATTATGTGAAACCAGTGAAATATGATTTTTTGAATTACATAATCATTTGAAGAAAGCAGTTAAAAAAACTATAAAGCATGAAAAATTTTTATTCCTATTCTTTTAGAAAACAATTTTATCTTTAGTGACTATCTGGCAAAAACTCTTACTTTAACGTCCATAAATGAATTCCAGTTGAGGAGAATTAATTAGTAATGGTTTATTTACTATCATTGAACACACACCTTTCCAATTCATTATCTGCAAACTTATTTATCCAACAAAATAAATGTTTAAGCATATTGATAGCAAATAAAACACCGAAATAAAAGGCAACTGAAACAAAATTACAAAACTTTAGCTCTTGCCTTTAAAAAGAACTTAATAGAGTCCTTATAACCAAAAGAATCAATTAGAAACCTGACCTAAGCTGAAGGGGACAGTTACATTACTTAAACTCAGGCATTCGGGCTTTCTGTCCAGGAGTTTAAATCTTGAATAAGTGATAAAACAGCAGAAGGAATGGTTGACGGTGACTCAGGCCTGGAAAGGTTCTGTGGACAGACTACCCCTGCTTTACAATGAGGCATCCTGAGTCCTGGTTCTCTGGAGCTGCCTTAGAGCAAGCTTGTGCAACCCACAGCCTGCAGGCCACATGTGACCCAGGACAGCTCTGAATGTGGCCCAACATAAATTCATAAACTTCCTTAAAACATTATAAAAAATTTTTGTGATACATATTTTTTAGCTTATCAGCCACCATTAGTATTAGTGTCTTTTATGTATAGCCCAAGACAATTCTTCTTCCAAAATTGCCCAAGGAAACCAAAAGTTTGGACACCCCTGTCTTAAAGCCTCCTCAAGCCCCAGATCACTTCTCTAATCTTGCGAAGTTTTCATGAACCTTTGGTGGCCCTGAAATCCATCTCTTTCTTTTAGACATCTCATTATTTGGAAGCCATTTAAGCCTTTATTGAGATCCATTAGATTCATTAGAAGCCAAATAATGAGAGGACTAAAAGAAGGGATCCTCTTTTATTTGTGGGCTTCCCTCTCGTGTTTTGGAAGAAATGTTTTTTTACCTGGGGTTGGATGATTCAGGAGAAAAAGGGGGCTTATGTCTTTAATGACAAGTGTTATTCTGGAGAATGGTCATTGAAAGAGATAAGAAAACTTTAGGATGTCACCCAACTGCTATTCTCCTTGTTTGGAATTGCTGGTACACCTGTCTCTTGCAGTGCATCCTGCTTTCAGGACACTGATGCAAATGATTATTGTTTAAAGAAATCAAAACTTACTGCTCAAAGCCATTTATTCAGAAAAGCCCAAATCCAGGTTATGGTGGATAGGTTGAAAACTAAGGAATGGAGCTTTCTAATTTTACCATCAAATTCTCAAGAAAGAGAGAAGTGTCAAAATGGTAGGCCTGAAATGTAAGTATGACGCTCTGTGTTTCTTGACAGTTAAAATGGTGTCATTTTACACTCTTGTTATGTCTGAAAAAAACATAATGTCAAATTACATAAGAAATATTTAATTCTGGTAAGATAGCTGGTGTGTCTCTGAGGTATTTAAGGACATTTTACACACTTGTCTTTAAAAAGCAATATTGGGCTGACTAAAAGCAGTGGCGACCAGAGGCTCCCATTGGAAAGAACCACAATAGCGCGTGAATTCTGCATCGGCAACCGAGGTACCCATGTTCTCTCATCAGAACTGACTAGGCAGCTGGCATGACTCACGGAGAGGAAGGAAGAGCAGTGTGGTGTGGTGGCCCACCTGAAAGCCACACAGGAGAGGAGAACCCCCATCCCCCAGCCAAGGGAGGTGGTGAGTGAGCGTGCTATCTAGCTGCGGAAACTGCTTTTTCCGTGGAACTGTGAAACCCACAGATTGGAAGATCCCACTCGTGAACTCATACCGCCAGGACCTAGGGTCCCAACCCAGAGCCACACAGATTCTCAGCAGCCTCTCAGCTAGAATCTGCTTAAGCCTGCCAAGTTCCCTGGGGGAGAGGTGACCAGCACAGCTGTGACTGCCTGTTGTCTAAGCCCTTTGAGCTCCTTGGGGGAGGGGCAGCAGCCATCACTGGGACTAATAGCTGATGAACACACTAAGCTCCATGGGCAGGCAAAGGGCAGCAGCCATCTTTATAGCACTAGGCTGTTCTTTTCTCCTGCTGGAGCCAGGGAGGCTGGACGGCTTGGTCCCAAGAAGTGTCCCCAACAGCCCAACACACCAGCTGTGGCCACTGACTAAGCCAGAGTGCCTCTTTTGGCCTCACCATGACCCATCCTTCCTCAGTGGGCAGGGCCTCCCTGCAGGAACTCCAGCAGCTCCAGAGGGGGGATCAAGGACAGATCTCTGATCTCCCTGAGCCTGAACTCCCCAGGGGAGGGAAGACCACAGGCTCTCTGGACCAGCAGACTCAGCCTTTCCTTCTGCTACCTCTGAAGAATCCAGGCAGCCCAGACAAGTGGGTTTCTCCCCAGTGAAGCACACCCCCTTCACCAAGGGAGAGTCAAAGTGCTTCATTAAATGGGTCCTGCTCCCCATGCCACCCAACTGAGTGAGACCCTCTAACAGAGGTTGTCAGACACCCTATACAGGAGGGATCCTACACATCAGGTTGGTGCCCCTTGAGGTCAGAGATTTCAGAGGAAGGAGCAGGCATTCATCTTTGCTGTTCTCTAGCCTTCTTGAATGACATCTCCAGGCACAGGAACAAACCAGATGAATAGGGCCTGAAGTGAACCCCAGCAAACCACAGCAGCCCTACAGAAGAGGGACCTGACCATGAAAGAGAAACAAACAAAAAGCAATAAAAATAGTATCAACAACAAAAAAAAATGTCCCCAGAAAATTCCCACCCAAGGATCAGCAGCCTCAAAGATGAAAAATAGACAAACTCTTGAAGATGAGAAAGAATCAACAAAAAAATGCTGAAAACCAAAAAGGGCAGAGTGCCTCTTCTTTGAACGATCACAATACCTCTCTAGCAAGGGTGCAGAACCGGATAGAGGATGAGATGGATGAATTGACAGAAGTTGGCCTCAGAAGGTGGGTAATAACAAATTCAGCTGAGCTAAAGGAGCATGCTCTAACACAATGCAAAAAAGCTACGAACCTTGATAAAAGTTTAAAGGAGCTGCTAACAGGAATAACCAGTTTAGTGAGAAACATAAAGGACCGGATGGAGCCAGAAAACATAGCACAAGAACTTTGTGAAGAATATACAAGTATCAATAGCCAAATCAACCAAATAGAAGAAAGGATATCAGAGTTTGAAGACCTGGCTGAGATAAGGCATGCAGAAAAGGTTGGGGGGAAAAAGAATAAAAAGGAATGAACAAAGCCTATGAGAAATATTGGACTATGTAAAAAGGCCAAACCTATGATTGACTGGAATACCTGAAGAAATTGGGGAGAATGGAAACAAGCTGGAAAAGAACTTCCCCAACCTAGCAAGACAGGCCAACATTCAAATTCAGGAAATACAGAGAACGCCATTAAGATACTCTACAAGAAGATCAACCCCAAGACACAAAATCATTCCTTCCAAAACTATTCCAAACAACTCTTCCTTAGCTAATTTTATGAGGCCAGCATCATCCTGATACCAAAACGTGGCAGAGATACAATAAAAAAAGGAAACTTCAGGCCAATATCCCCACAAACATTGATGCAAAAATTTTCAAAAAAATACTGGCAAACCAAATCCAGCAGCACATCAAAAACTTACCCACCATGATCATGTTGGTTTCATCCCTGGAATATAAGGCTGGTTCAACACACACAAATCAGTAAACGTAATCCATCACATAAACAGAAACAAAGACAAAAACCACATGATTATCTCAATAGATCAAGAAAAAGCCTTCAATAAAATTCAACATCCCTTCATGTTAAAAACTCTCAATAAACTAGGTATTGATGAAACATATCTCAAAATAATAAGCTACTTACAGCCAATATCATATTGAAAGGGCAAAAGCTGGAAGGATTCCCTTTGAAAACTGGCACAAGAATGCCTTCTCTCTCACCACTCCTATTTGACATAGTATTGGATGCTCTGGCCAGGGCAAACAGGCAAGAGAAAGAAATAAAGGGTATTTAAACAGGAAGAGAGGAGATTAAATTGTCTCTGCAGACAACTTGATTGCATATTTGGAAAACCCTATCATTGCAGCCTAAAAACTCCTTAAACTGATAAGCAACTTCAGCAAAGTCTCAGGACACAAAATCATTGTGCAAAAATCACAAGCATTCCTATACACCAAGCAGAGAGCCAAATCATGAGTGAGATCCCACTCACAATTGCTACAAGGAGAATAAAATACTTAGGACTACAGCTAACAAGTGATGTAAATGACCTCTTCAAGGAGAACCACAAACTGCTGCTCAAGGAAATAAAAAGGACACAAACAAATAGAAAAAATTCCATCCTCTTGTATAGGAAGAATTAGTATCATAAAAATGGCCATACTATCCAAAGTAATTTATAGATTCAATGCTATTCTCATCAAACTACCATTGACATTCCCCACAGAAACTAGAAAAAAACTACTTTAAATTTCATATGGAACCAAAGAAGAGCTGTATATCCAAGGCAATCCTAAGGAAAAAGAGAAAAAGAAAAAGAAAAAAAAAGCTGAAGGCATCACACTACCTGACTTCAAACTACACTACAAGGCTGCAATAACCAAAACAGCACATCACTGGCACCAAAACAGACATGTAGACCAATGGAACAGAACAGAGACCTCAGAAATAACACCACACATGTACAGCCATCTGATCTTTGACAAACCTGACAAAAGCAAACAATGGGGAAAGAATTTCCTATTCAACAAATGGTGCTGGGAAAACTGGCTAGCCATATACAGAAAACTGAAACTGGACCCCTTCCTTACACCTTATACAAAAATTAACTCAGGATGGATTAAAGACTTAAATGTAAAACCCAAAACCATAAAAACTCTAGAAGAAGACCTAGGCAATACCGTTCAGAACATACAGATGGGCAAAGACTTCATGACAAAAACTCCAAAAGCAATTGCAACAAAAGCCAAAATAGACAAATTGGATCTAATTAAACTAAAAAGCTTCTGCACAGCAAAAGAAACTATCTTCATAATGAACATGCAACCTACAGAATGGGAGAAAATTTTTATAATCTATCCACCTGACAAAGATCTAATATCCAGACTCTAGAAGGAACTTAAACAAATGTACAAGAAAAAAACAACTCCATCAAAAAGTGGACAAAGGATGTGAACAGACACTTCTCAAAAGAAGACAGTTATGTGGCCAACAAACATATGAAAAAAAAATTCAACATCACTGATCATTAGAGAAATGCAAATCAAAATCACAATGAGATACCATCTCATGCCAGTCAGAATGGTGGTTATTAAAAAATCAAGAAACAATAGATGCTGACAAGGCTGTGGAGAAATAGGAACTCTTTTACACTGTTGGCAGCAATGTAAATTAGTTCAATCATTATGGAAGACAGTGTGGCGATTCCTCAAGGATCTAGAACCAGAAGTACCATTTGACCCAGCAATCCCATTCCTGGTTATATACCCAAATGAATATAAATCATTCTGCTACAAAGACACATGCACACACATGTTTACTGCAGCACTATTTATGATAGCAAAGACATGGAACCAATCCAAATGCCCATCAATGATAGACTGCCTATCAAGGATAAAGAAAATGTGGTACATATACATCATGGAATATTATGCAGCCATAAAAAGGAAGGTGATGATGTCCTTTGCTGGGACACGAATGAAGCTGGAAGCCATTATCCTCAGCAAACTAACACAGAAACAGAAACCAAACACTGCATGTTCTCACTCATAAGTGGGAGTTGAACAACGAGAACACCATGGACACAAGGAGGGGAACAACACATACTAGTGCCTGTTAGGGGTGGGGGTGAGGGGAGGGAACCTAGACAATGGGTCAATAGGTGCAGCAAACCACCATGACACATGTATATCTATGAAACGAACCTGCATGTCCTGCACATGTATTCCGAAGCTTGAAGTAAAATAAAAATTAAATTAAATTAAAATAAAAAGCAATCCTGAGAGTATTTTCAGATTGTGCAGCAATACAACTGTTTGAACAGGTAATGAATTCTGTTTTCAATTTTGATGGCTTTGATCTTTTCTAGTGATTTCCTTTTTAATTTGCTGAAGGCTTGTTTTTTTCTTACCTAGAATTATTTCTAGACTTTCTAAACTTTTTTGAGCAGAATCAAATTCAAAGGCAAACAGCATTTCATATTCCTGGATCGTTCTTCATTGCCTCTTACCTGCAACAGATCTCAATAAAGGCTTAATTAGCCATTAACAAGCCAACATGTTAAGATTTCTAATTAATGGTGGCTTGTCTATCAAGTTAATGTCCTTGCAAATTATCTCCTTCTAGAGATTATTACAATTTACAGAAGCAAATCCATTATTTATTATGTAGGGAGCTTAGTAGACTCTAATTTTAAACATAATGCAGGGGTATCCCTTGCCATTAGAGATTGTGCTTCCAAAGTAAGTGTGTAAGATGAAAAATGTGCATAGTCAAAATTAGCCCCTTGACAAGTCCTTAAATGACACTGCATTAAAGACTGACACACTGAAGTCCGTTAGTCCTGCACAGTTTTCCAGATGACCCTTTCTTCAGCTGAGTACCAGATCCTTAGCAGTTAGGGGTATGGTAAATTAAAAATAATGACTTTTAAACACTAGAATTACATTATGCATGGCAAGGTGCCCACACTATGAAATAAACATAGAAACAGCAGATACCCATCAAATCTCCTGGTCACCCTCAGGCAGGCACTCTGATGGAACACGGTCTGAATTTCCTACAGTGTTTAAATTGCTCACTCTCTCTATTGTCTTCCTCCTACCCACCCCACTTTTCTCTCTCTTTGCCAAACATATGCAGAGAAATTTAAGTAAGTTAACACAGTACGTGATGTGACTGCATTATCTTTTTAAGCAATAATAATATTGATAGTTTGATAACTTCATTCTAGCTTTCAGTTGTTTCCATATTTTTATATTTGCATTGTTTTTTGCATTGAAAAAAAATTCATACCCTAATTTCAAATTCCCTGGCAAGATCCTCTATATCAAAGTTTCCAAAGAATCCAAAACACTTTATTGGATAGGGATGGACATGCAGTGAATTGCTCAATATTTGAGATCTGGTGAATACTCACCCAGGGTTCATCTAGCAAATTCTTCTTGAGACTGGTAAGTCATCTGCATCTGGAAATGTTTCCTTCACCTTTTCATCCTTTTGTTCGCAAGATCTACAAGATACTGGCATTGTGTGGGTTCTCAGAAAATCCTTGTTGAATGGAAAGGAGGAAAGGGAGAAAGTGAGAGAAAGAAGCAGGGATGAAAGAAGGAGAAAGAGCATGAGGGAGAAAAGGAAGGGAGAGAAAGAAAGGAGGGAAGGAATGGACAAGGGAGGACAGGAGGGAGGAGGGAGGGAGGGAGGGAATGGAGCTGATAGACACAAAAGCATGAGTTTGGCTGGTTCAATGGTCTTGGAACTCTAAGGCCTTGAGCAAGTTACATTTCTGGTTTGATCATCAGTTTCCTCAGCTCAGTGTAGACACAGGAATAAAATTTCTGCCACGTAATTCAATAAAAGGGAGCTGTACCGGCTAAGTACTTATCACTGGGCAAAATTTGGCATTCTGACTGTTTTGAATCATCACATATATCTGCACTATTCTTAAAAAGTAAATATATAAATGTTTATGTCTGGAGACTAAGGAGTTGGCTAGTAAGTAGTCATGTTGTGAACAGTCTGCCCACAAGGACCATCACAAAGCAGGCAAAATCTTTTGAAAGGCCTTCAGCAGATGTTGTTCTCACAGGCAAAAGCAAATACCAGGAAACAATGATAAAACAAAGATCTGAGGCCTGTTAAATTGTGACTTAAAAGGCTGCCTCTTTCTTTTGTGTGCCAGGCATTTACTACATAAAGGAGGCAACCTCACGTCATCTCAGTTAGGAAAATGTTTCTATTCCCATTTTTCAGATAAGGAAATGGAGTTCGGAGAAGTCAAGTAACTTGCGTAAGGTCACACAGGTCTCGAGCACCCTGGGCCTGGATTCAATCTCACCTCAACTGACTATACCACATCCAGGCTTTTTTTTTTTTTATACTACCCTCATGCTTATTATCGTTGTCAGCTGATTAACTCTACAGGAAGTGTCCAAAATCATCAGAAATAAACTGTCTATTAGTGTATGAAGAAATTAGTAAAATGCAGTCAGTATAGTTGTAAGTGCTGAAAGAGAGACATCCATATGAGACAAAGGGCATTCACTATCAGAATGTTCCTCGGGGACTTTTCTATATTATATGATTTGAAGCCCTGGCAAGTAACAGCAAAGGACACTGTACAAATAGGGTCTTTGAATATATATTATGTGCCAGGCACTGTTCTGAGCACTTTTAGAAGTGCTTAGAAGTAATTAATTTTATCTGTACAGTAGCAGCTCGTTGGGCACATACTAAGCCCCAGCGAAATTTAATATAATCCATAAGTAAGAGCTGGAGTTGATATTGGAACAAATGCAGACTGGCTCCAATGACTGCTCTAAACAGCTACACGTGTTGGTCTGATGTTTGTTTTTCCTATTCTGGGCTTGCCTTAAAGGACCTGTAGGGAGATGGAAGACTACAATATGGGCAGTGAAGCTTAGAGCTGAGCCAGGACTTCCTGAGTTTGCTGATACGGGATCAGAAAACCTGGGACCTGCCCTCCTTTCCATCTCTAAGCCTTAATGTCTTCATTGTAAGGTATGGCTGATGATGCCCAAGTAAATAGCTTCAATGAGGATGATCTTGCATATGAATAACTCAGTTAAAAAAATGGTGGCATGTGCCTACAATTCCAGGTACCTGGGAGGCTGAGGCAGGAGAATCACTTGAACCCTGCAGGCAGAGGTTGCAGGAAGCTGAGATTGTGCCACTGCATTCCAGCCTGGATGACGCAGCAAGACTCCGTCTCAAAAAAATAAAAAATAAAAATCAAACCAAACCAAACAAAACAAAAAACCCTCAAAATCGAATGGCTAAAGCATAAGTGCCTGAGTCAGGCTTCCTGAATCTGAATCCTGACAAAATTTAGTAGCTATGTGACCTTGCATACATTACTTACCCTTTCTATGCCTGTTTCTTAATCTGCAATATGAAGATAATAATAGTATCTACTGCATAGGGCTGTTGACAGCATTATACACTTGGTGGCTGCGGAATAGGAGGAAGCACATAGCAATATGGACTACCATCACCATCCCATGCACTATGAAGGATGTATACATTTAAAAAGGGAGTTCCATCATTATTTCATATGTAATCCAAACTTAGATTTGCAGTGTAGGCAGATCCTATTGCTACCTCATGATGTGTAGCGTTTTCCAAAAGCTCCTAAAGATGACAAAATTGAAAGAATACAGGAGAAAGATGGTATATGAAGATCTTTCAAAGCTGGATCTTTCATCTGTTCTCTGCTTTGTTGCCTTACGGAAAATAGTTTCAAATGTATGCTTTGCCCATTGGTGTTGGCAGTCATGAAAGCCAAGTCTATGTCTTGTCTGGCTTATGTTAAAATGTTTGCCGTGTCCCCCTTGATGATACAATGAAGTGATGGCAGCCTCTGGGTTCCCCCAACACACTGAGTTATTAGGAACTCATGTGTAGTGTGAGAGCAGCATGCCATCACAAGGAAAGAGGGAGAAAAAGAAAACGGAACTTCCAAATAAAGTAACACATTCTTTTCCTATTTATTTCGAAATAGCATCCCAAATTTGTTCAGCAATTATCTTCTTCCCCATTGGCCATCAATATGGTTTAAGTAAACTGACTTTACTCATCACTTCCTCCCTGATTGAGAGGTTGGAAAAGACCCAGGGCTAACCAATGAGCACTTTTTATTCCATGGTGACAAAAATTGGTTAAGGAATGGGCACTTGAGCACAGTCAGGCCAATGAGTATCAGCTCTGGGTCATTTGTTGATGATATTAGCAAAGAGAGGTGTTCATTTCTACTGAGGCAATTAGCTATGTGGAGTAGAAATTTGGAATGTTTGGCAGTCATCATGCCACCATTTTAGAAGCAACCTCATTAAAAATGGAACCAAGAGCAAAGTGAAGCTTACTTAGTGACAGAGGACATGAGATGACATCATTTGAACTCCTATGTCAAACTATACCTGAGCCAGATCCACCTCTAGACTTCTCAGTCACAGGATTTGTCACAGGATTAGTAGATCCCCTGTTCCTCTCTGTCTCTTCTCTGCCTCTCTCCTCCTTCCTCACTCTCTTTTTCTCCCTCTCTTGGTTCAAGCACTCGATGATTCTTGAGTCACAGTGCTGTGTATTTTCAATTTCACCTTATGTCTGGCTCCCAGTTTCCCCAAATTATAGAAATGCTGCATCTTTCTGTAGGCCCTGTAGGCCTATTCAATAAATCCAAGCATACGGTTTCAGAACTATTGAAAGACAAGCTGAACACTCAAGCAGGATCTCATTTTCCTGGGGGAATCGACTCTCTAAATTAATAAAAAATAGCCATGTCTACATTGTGGAACACAAACTCATTTTCCCAGGTTTATAAACCTCTCAATACATACCTGACTCTGTTAAAATGCTGATGGCTCTTATGAAGCTATTTTTAAAAAGGGAGAAATGGGTGCCTCTCTAAGTGATAAGATTATGCAGCCCGTGGGTCCCATTGTCACACTGGAGGTAACACAAGGAACATTGAGGGAGTCAGAGAAGTGAAAGGAACAATGAAGGTTCTTTACAAATCAGTTCACTGTGCAAACAGACAGGGAAACAATAAGCCAAGTCTTCATTGTGTCCAGCCTGCCTTACAGATGGAAAATACAAACCAAATTAGATTTGGAAAATGGTCCATTATCCTGCCCTCATTGAGGAGAGAAGAGACTAGAGTACACAGGGCTTCCTGGGAATCAATTATTTCCTAATGAAATAATCATAGCTGATGGGTAACTTCATTGTGACTTTTACAGAAGTTCAGTACTATTACTTATCTCTGTAGATTATTTTTTAAATTCTAGAGAAATTTAAAAGTAAAAAAGGAAAGGAGAAAGAATATTGTAATTTGGGATTCCCTCTTTGGTTTGCTGGCAGACCAAGGAAAAACAAATAGAAGGCTCTAGGTTTGGGGAACAAAAACACAGGATGCCCAGTTTAATGTGGATTTCAGATAAACAACAAACAGGTATTTTGTACCCCACATAACAAACAGCTTTTTAAATCCAGCACCCTACAAGTAGAAAAGCTCAGAAGTAGGACAAAGGTTGGTGAAGTTGAGGAGAAGCAGGGATGGCATGGCTGGAGCTTGGGGGTGGGAGGAATATGAGGATATGGAACTTGAAACTGGAGGCAATCAAGTCGGAGGGTGAAGATTGAGTGTTAACGTGATGGGAAGCCATCGAAGGGCTTTATCCACTGAAATGGGCCAATCTGACTTGCAGTTTTAAGAGGTAGCCCAGTGGACTGCAAGAGGCCAGGTGAGAACATGGAGCCAGACAAGGTGAGATTATGGAGCCAGAGCTGGGCAGAGGCTCTTGCACTGGTCCAGCCATGAGATGATGGGAATTCACTCCACAGTGATACCAGCAGAGGAGAAGAGAAGCAACCTGGGTCTGTCAGGTTAGTTTCAAGCATCCGAAACCAACTCTATCTTCATCTCTCTGTTTTTGGCACAAAGAGGAGCTTTTTTTTTTTTTTCCTGGAAGTACAAGCATACTCAATTTCATTATGCTTCAGTTTATTGTGCTGCTCAGATACTGTGTTTTTTTTACAGACTGAAAGTTTCTGGCAGCTCTGTGCTAAGCAAGCCTATTGGTACCATTTTTTCAATAACATGGGCTTACTTCATGTGCCTGTGTCACATTTTAGAAATTCTTTCAATATTTAAAACTTTTTCATTATTATTATATCTGTGATGGGCCAATTATATCAATTATCTCTGTTATGGTAATCTGTGATCAGTGATTGTTGATGTTACCATTGTAATTGTTCTGGGGCACCACAAACCATTCCTTTATAAAAGGGAAACTTAATAGCTACATGTTGTGTGTGTTCTGATGGCTTCACTGACTGGCCATGCTCCCATCTATCTTCTTCCTTTCCAGTATCCCTATTCCCTGAGACACAACAATGTTGAAATTAGGCCAATCAATAACTCTGCAATGGCCTCTAAGTATTGAAGTAAAAGAGAGTCATGTGTCTCTCAATTCAAATCAAAATAAATTACTAAGCTTAGTGAAGAAGACATGTTAAAAGCTGAGATAGGTAAAAAGTTAGGCCTCTTACACCAAACAGTTGAGCATACAAAGTTCTTAAAGAAGATTATAAGTGCTATTCCAGTGAACACACAAATTTCTTAGATAGCTTCTATATCATCACTTGCTGTTTCACCTTGCATTTTTATGTTATGAAGATGGCTTCTCTCCTTGAACCTCATGAACCAACTTCTGATAGCTTCAAACTTGTCTTCTGAGGCTTCCTCATCTCTTTCAATCTTCATATAATTAAAGAGAGTAGGGCCTTGTTCTGGATTGGGCTTTGGCTTAAGGAAATGGTGTGGCTGGTTTGATCTTCTATCCAGACCGATAACACTTTCTCCATATTAGCAGTAAGGTTGTTTCACTTTCTTAGCTTAATGTAGCAAGTTATCTAAGAAATCTAGCTAAGATCATTGATGAAGGTGACTACACTCAACAACAGATTTTCAATGTAGACAAAACAGCCTCATATTGCAAGATGCTATCCAGGACTTTATAGCTAGAGAGAAGTCAGTGTTTGGCTTCGAGGATTCAAACAACAGGCTGACTCTCTTGTTAGGGGCTAATGCAGTTGGAGACTTTAAGTTGAAGACATTGCTCATTAACTAACCCACAATCCTAGGGTCCTTGAGAATTATGCTAAATCTCCTCTGCTTGTGCGCTGTGAATAGAACAACAAAGCCTGGACGATATCACATCTGTTGAAAGCATGATTTGCTGGATATTTTAATCCCACTGTTGAGACCTACTGCTCAGAAAAAAAGATTTCTTTCAAAATATTACTGTTTGATGACAGTGCACCTGTTCACCCAAGAGTTCAGATGGAGATGAATAAGAGATGAAAGTTGTTTTCATGTCTGCTAACACAACATCCATTCTGCAGCCCATGTACCAGGGAGTAATTTTGATTTTCAAGTCATATTACTTAAGAAATGCATTTCATAAGGTTAGAGGTACCATTGACAGTGATTCCTCTGATGGATCTGTGCAAAGTAAATTGAAAACATTCTGTAAAGGATTCTTCATTCTACATGTTAATAAAAACATTCACGATTCATGGAAGAAGGTCAAAATATTAACATGAACAGGAGTTTGAAAGAAGTTGATTCCAACCCTTATGAATAACTTTGAGAAGTTCAGGATCTCAGTGGAGGAAATAACTGCAGTTGTTGTGGAAATAGCAAAATAACTAGAATTAGAAGTGGAGCCTGAAGATGTGATGAATTGCTACAATCTCATGATAAAACTTGAATGGAAGAGGAGCTGCTTCTTATGGATAAGCAAAGAAAGTTGTTTCTTGAGATGGAAACTCCTCCTGGTGAAGATGCTGTGAACATTGTTGAAATGTCAGCAAGGGATTATGAATATTACATAAACTTCATTGATAGAGCAATGGCAGGTCTTGAGGAATTGACTCCAATTTTGAAAGGAGTTCTACTGTGGGTAAAGTACTATCAAACAGCATCACATGCTACAGATAAATCTTTTGTAAAAGAAAGAGTCCATCAGTGTGCCAAAATTCATTGTTTTCTTATTTTAAGAAATTGCCACAGTCACCCCAAACTTCAGGAACCACCACCATAACATCAAGGCAAGACCCTTCAAGTCAGCAAAAAGTTTATGACTTGCTGAAGGCTCAGACAATCATTAACATTTTTTAGCAATAAAGTATTTTTAAATTAAGTTATGTATGGTATATTGGTTTTTTTACACACAGTGCTATTGCATACTCAATAGACAAATGTATAGTATAAACATAAATTTTATATGCATAAGAACTAAACAATTTGTGTGACTCCCTCTATTGTGATATCAACTTTATTGCAGTGGTCTGGAACCAAATCCATATACCTCTGAGGTGTGCCTGTATACATGAAGGCTGAAATAAAAATCTGAAGATGATCAGGGATGAAAAGATCATAGGCAGGAGGAACCAGCCAAGATCACATCTTGAAAACAGCCCAAGTGCCAGCCATATACCTTGGTCCTTCAAAAGCTGTATTCTTCATAGAACCACCTTCCTGTGAGTATGTGTGCATTGTCCTTGAGACTCCATATCCTTCCCTTAAGGGTCAAAGCCCTCGGCAGAATCATCTGAGTGGCCAGTGCAGTCACAGGCCTATATTTGTACCTCAGCCACCAGCAAGCGGGGAGAGGGACTCCATGCCTCCTTTGGGTTTTGTAGAAAGAGGCCAAGGAGCCAGGATTCCCAAGGGGGAATCATGTTCAAACTGGGTAATTCAAAATCTAGTCAATAACCCTCCATGGATATTTGCTCTTTAGAATCAGGAATGTGACCTGATGAAACTTTATAATTCTAGGGACTGTCTATAATTTATTGAAGAACAAAGATCACAACAATTACATAATCTTTTTTTTTTTTTTTTTGAGATAGAGTTTTGCTCTTGTTGTCCAGGCTGGAGTGCAGTGGCACAATCTCGTCTCACTGTAACCTCCACCTCCCGGGTTCAAGCAATTCTCTTGTCTCAGTCTCCCAAGTAGCTGGGATTACAGGCGCCTGCCACCATACCCAGCTAATTTATTTTATTTTATTTTTTAGTAGAGATGGGGTTTCACCATGTTGGCTAGGCTGGTCCTGAACTCCTGACCTCAGGCAATCCACCCACCTTGGCCTCCCAAAGTACTGGGAATATAGGCATGAGTCTCCGCGCCCAGCTGGATATTCTTAACTAAGCTTTAATTCCAGCACATGTATCCAAAAATTTCACCAGTGTCCCTAGAGCAAGAAGAAAATAAAACTTATCAGTTGCATGTGTTATGAAGGCCTGAGGATTTTAATGACTTAACATAATCTGAGTCAACAGTGAGCTGTGGCTGATAGAACAGCATAGATCCCCATAGAAACAAAACCAAAGGGGATTAGAAAGGAGGAATTGTGGAAAGAAAATATACCTGATGTTCTCTGCCTGACTTGAAGTGGACCCAGGTATTTTTCCAAGGTTTATTTTGTATGGATGACATAAATGATCATAATGTTCTGACCATCATGCAACCCCCACCTTTTCTGACATTATGAAGTTATGTTGTTGCCATGAGGCTAAAAATGATTTGGGACCCTTACAAGGAGGTTAAAGGTGCTATAGTAGACAGACCAAATAGAGTAAGAAATTCAACCTAAGTTTTAGGTTAAAGTAAGAGGAAAATGAACCAGACTAATATAGTTATGTCAATAATTAAATGAGATAATATATGGAAATTAATGGCTAGTGCTTAGCATGTGGTAAGTGTTCAATAAATGTTAGCAATTGCCTTCACAAAAAGGTTTCACAGCTTCTAAGGGTAGCCAGGTGTCTCAGAATTGGGCATGAAGTGCCAATTAATAGACACACCTTGAGTTGAAATAATGGCTTAAAATTGCCTAAAGAAAGAAAATTGGGCTTTAAAACACATACACAAAGGAAAGAATCTGCATAACCCAATGCAATTCATTTCTCATCTCAATATAGAAGAATCTCTTTGCATTAACAGGACACTATTCCAAATCTCTGTTTCTGGAATTCTACTAAAATTGGTAGAAGCTACATAAACAGTCAAACTGGATGTAGCCATAATAAATGTGGATGTTGGACTGCAGCATTGAGCAAGTCTTTGGTCACAGACCATCTATTTTCACCCACTCGCTACCTGACTTTTTAACCAGTTACCTAGCAATCCAAAACCAAATAATCATAAATAAAATTCACAATCTTCCCCTACATGTTCTGCTGAGACCTCATTTTATGAGTATATTAGAAAAA